ATAAACACCATTCACCTCATTCACTCACACACAGTACTCCATACCAAAAACTACATTCTCAGTATGTATATTTTCATCATCATCAGCCTATCGCAGTTTACCGCTGGACATAGGCCTCTCCAGTTGAATGATAAGATGCTCTCATTTCGGTGCACCTGTACATTTATATATCCTCAAACTCAAACTGTCTTTTTTTCATAAAATTTTTAAAATTGTTTGAAATTGTCTTTTATGTCCACTCTAAAGTCATAGATCAACACACACAAAAGCAACAATCTCTGTTTTGTCAAATAGTAAGCAAATAAATTTAACAAAAATCAAACCTATATAATATCTATGATATGGCTGTGCCGATCTACAACCGCCCGTTTCCAAGGGGTTGAGCCTTATGAGAAGAAAGGGCAACAAACTCATGGCCACTCTTTTGCAATTCACAGATGGATACAATGGCACTGTTAAATATACCACAACATTGTTTTGATGTGTGCCAGTATGTCCGTTATTACGGACCAAAAGGTAAAAAGACAATGAAGAGAAAACAAGATTAAGAAAAAAAAAACCAATAAAGTGTGAAGTGTGAAGTGAAGTGAATCATAAAAATAAAAAATAATAATAAAAAACACACTAGCCACACTACATTTTTACTTAAGAAAGAAATAGCCTGCGCTAATTAATCCCAAGCATTCTTGTCTTCTATGTAATCCACAATTGAGTAGTAGGCCCTCTGGCACAAGCCACGTGTTATTGCGAATTTAAATGTGTTAATACTTAACTCTTGAATATTATTTGGGATTTTATTTTAAAATAGAGAGACTTGTTTATCTTTTGGAGCCTAGAGGCGGGTACTACAAGTTTATTTCTATTTCTGGTATTTATAGAATGTACATCACTTTTTTTCAAAAGCTATCTTTGTTTTTATGAACATATATTACATTTTCATAAATATATTGACTTGCCACTAAGATTATGTTAATTTCTTTAAATTTCTGATTCAATGAACAACGATTGCCTAAATTATCTCCCTGAATCTACCTCCTCCTGTAAACACGCAGCAGTCGCTCAAAACCGCTTTTCACGGTCCCGGTAAAATAATACCTACATGTGGCGAGCGCCCATCGTTGTATTTAGTTCCTCGACTAGTACAATTACTCAAAATAATATTAGATATAAGCTAAAGTCTCATTTTCTTCAGAACATGGAGAGTTACTTGTTACAACAAACCTTAATGGTTTAAGAATGCTATGCACACGACGAGACATAGCTGTTGTGACCTATTTGATAAACATATTAAGTGACATAGTAGATGTCTTGGTCTACTATGAACAATTGCTTTCAAATAATTTATCATACCAACTAAATGCTCACATAACTATTTACTACTTATTTTGTGTTTAATCATGAGGACCTACATATAGTTGGACCGTCGTATCATAATATGTCTATGTGTAATTATGAATTGCACAGAACAAAGAATTCTTTTTTCTGTGATGAATTGTGTGTGCGTTGGTCTTTCAATGAAAAGTTCATATACAGTATAATAAAAAGATAGGTATATTCATATAAATGTACATAACTAAACTTGTTACAGTGGTCTAGTTTAATGTGTACTTTATAATGTGTATGTATCAATGCATTAATTAAACTGTTAGCCTTATGCGAAACTTAGAGTCATAAGCACGGCCTTTTATATAATTGTACAAAAAGTGAGTACTTGGTTTTCAACGCCCCTAGCAAGTGTCCTTCAAAAGTACTACCACCAATAAAATTGAAAGTGGAATATAGAGCTAAAAGGGTATATCACTTTAAGTATCTTGTGCACATTGCGACTGAGGGTCTTGAAAACCAAGCCCATGTTAAAAGAGAACGTAGGGCGATGAACCCTTTGGAAACGGGCGGTTGTAGATCGGCACAGGCATATCATAGATTTTATATAAGTTTAATTTTTGTTAAATTTATTTGCTTACTATTTGACAAAACAGAGATTGTTGCTTTTTGTGTGTTGATCTATGACTTTAGAGTCTACATAAAAGACGATTTCAAACAATTTTAATTTTTTTATGAAATAAAGAGAGTTTGAGTTTGAGTTTGATGGCAATCAAGAGTAATATGCTGGGCCGCAGGTTCACAAAATTACAGTTTTTAAGGCTTACTGCAATACTTTCTACACGAGCAGTCTGTGTGTGGCCTGCGTCGGCCTATGTATGGGTAGATACCCATACATAGGCCGACGCAGGCCCTACGTATTCAGTATAACAATGGCTTTTGGATGTTATTGGGTCTGCCTCGATTCTGTAGTGCCTCTGGCATGTTTACGCAAGCAAGAGTCGATAGCTTCCATGCTATCATACGCAAGTGGGTTGTTAAGCAGAGTGAGAGGCAGCACCAACCTTAATTTTATATTCATAAAAAAAAATTTATCTTTATTTCATTAAATATACATAAAAATTACATTTTAAAATATGTTTATAATTCATGCATAAAAATATATATTTAACAATATAAAAAATTGCGTCCCATCAGTATCGGGAACAGGGACCAAGATACCGGTGATTAGGATTCCAGAGACAAAAACCTCCTGAGGATACAAACCGTTTCGAGAAAAACTGCTTTCTGCATCAGGCCCTTAATCCAGCTGCCTAACGCGAGCCTCTGAAGATGTTGGTCGAGGCTGTTAGCAATTATTCCATGGGCCGATAAAACATAAGCTAAGATCATATGTGATATGATAAATATACTGTTATTATTATTCGCGTACTTAAAAACTAAACTAAATATTGTCAGCTGTAAAGAAACTAAGAAATAAATAAATAAAATAAAATTATTACAGAAGAATGTACATCATTTCATAACCTTTTCCAAGTGAACTCAGGTACCAAGGTGGTTATAGAATCACTCATCTGTACGGAATGATTTCAATTGAAACTTGCACTAAATTGAAATTTTCATAAATTGGTTTTACATAAACAATTTCCAATGCATCCATTCATCACGGATTATATTAATTGGCAATAAAAATTTAACATAAATGTTGAAATTTATCAAAGGATTAGTAACAATATATGTAGGTGTAAAATAAAGAAGTCGTGACAAATAAATAAACAGGTATTTGTTAGACTTTACATAAAATAAATTTGAGTTTTAAAAATATGATTATTGTGAAATGGTATGTAAAAAACATACGTCGATAATAGTAGGTTTTATTACTACTCTGTCAAGAAAATACCGGGAACAGATCAATAATACACAAAATGTTTGTTATTCATCCAAATTTATTTTATCACCTTCAAAGTATGCTCCTTCAGAAACAAAGACACTTACGTCAAGGAATAATCCAATCATCAAAACATTTTTTAAACGCTGTTTCCGGAATTGAGTTCAGTTCTCGCCGCGAATTCTCCTTTATGTCTTCTACCGATTGAAACCGGGTGCCACGAAGTAGTAATTTAGGAAGAAGAAAGAAGTCGGCTGATGGCTTGATGGCCTACCAGAGCGGGGCAAAACTTCCATCACATCTCGACCGCTTTTGAACACTTTGTACCACTCATAAGCACGTGTTTTTGATAAAGTCGATTCACCGTAAGTACATTTTCAGTAACTCCGAACACGAAATTCTAATGGCGATGCAAAATTTACTATCTAAAATGCCTCCTTGGTAATTTTGCCTCAAATCTTGCAGTTTGCTCGCTATTTTATGCTGCTCACTTACTCAAAAGGTTACTGGAATTCAACGTGTGAACATCATCATCATCAACAGCCTTTAACAGTTCACTACTGGACATAGGCCTCTCCTTAGAAAGGAGGTTTTGGCCTACTATACAACGCTGACCAGACTGGTTGGCATGGGGTTTGTGTCAAGTTTTCCTTCTCTCTGCAGTGCTGTTGTCCTGCGTAGTTCGCTCTCTTAGTCGCTTCTTACGAAACCCACGGGATGAATAGGGGTGGTCACACTCTGTATTCTTAATCCGTCACCACACGGATTACATTACATACATGTGGACATTACACAATTATTCGTACTGATTGTGAACCACAACCTCTACGCCGGATCACTAAATACTAGAACAATAACAATCTCTTAATACGAATAATAAAAAATAACTTAAAAGTACATAATACGCTTATGTTCATAATATGCTTATTACAAATGTGGTATAAAGAAGGTACTCACATATTCACGTACCTACTCACGTATTATACTCGTACAAGACAGGAAACTCATAGTAAGTGAATGTTGGTCTGCACGGATGGCGTAGTGGTTTAAGCGGTCGCTGTGCCGCGTCCTAGTGACAACACGTAGTGTGATCATCAAATTGTTGTTCTGAGTCTGGGTGTTCTTTGTGTTCGTTACATGTATGTTTGTAAAGTCCCCGAGACACAGGATATATTCATAACGCGGGAGTTGACTATTTGAAAAAAAAGTGTAATGAATAAATTTCAAATGTGGATTTCAGCCAATCCCTTGTAGAACCATGACCATTCCTTTTTAAATCTGGATCTAGAATTTGAACATTACTTTGATCATAGCCATAAGCTACTCGTAACTATATCCTGTATCAGTTTAAAAAAGGGTCTTTATTGCCTATTTGCCTTGGTTAACCAAATTACAACCGATAACTTAAACTTTGTATTTCTGGGTAATGAATCAGTTTAGCAGATTACATCCGAGAACAGATAAAAATGTAAAGGTGCCAAAATTGAATTATTAAAAGTTCGGTTTTTATAACCGTTCAAAATGCTTTTAACCTCGTTACACTTCCATTTTGTGTATGTATTGTAAAACGGATAATCCAGATTTGGTATGGTTTTGTTATCAATACCAAACAATCTAAGGGTTACGAACTCATTTAACTTGAAATTAGTTCCACGTTTGTTTCTCTTTAAACAATAACTAAACAACTAATTAAAAATAGAAAATAACAATAAAACTACTAGTTTACTTCTAGATTTTATATTTTAATTATTTACATGATAAGTAGCATCATACATAAAATTACAAACAGTTAACACTCCTTCACATGTTCTCTACTAGAAATAAAAGATTTTGATGCATCCTCGTCTACTTCTTCTGCCTCCTTAAAATAATTTTCTATTTCTTGCAAAGTTTTGTCTTTGGTTTCAGGTAAATATATGTATAAGATGAATGCGAAAATAGATGCAGATATGCCGTAAAACAAGAAAGCACCCTCTAAAGAGAGGATTTTAAAAATGTATGGTGACACTTTGAGTACAGTTGCCATCAACAACTCAGAAAACAACGTTATAATTAACAATGACGTACTTTTATATCTCAAAAAAATTATTTCTCCAAATATTGTAGACGGCATAATCATAGGACCACACGTTATAGATACTGAGAATGAAGTCAGTAAGACAATAGATATAATTTTATTTTCAGTTATTACACTCATGTGGATTAAATACAAATATAATGAAATTATGAACAAAAAGATTATCCCAATTACTGAGGAAGATAATAACAAAGTTCTTCTATTAACTAACTTTGATAGAACACATCCAATTTGCATGCCAAGTATTGTAACAGCATCCAAAATGAGCATACCGATATAGGCAGCGGATTCACTATCAGTAATTTGACTTATCAAATCTACAGCATACATCGAACATACGAGTTTTCCTGAAAAGTGATACAGAGACATAACTGCCATTGATAACAGGAGCGGTTTGTAAAAACCTTTATTAGTTACTGTTTCTTTGATAACGTCAAATTGGCAAAACGATTTGGGCTTCTTACGGTCGGCACATTTCTTTAAATATTCTTTTTGTGACTTTATGAGGCTCTCAAGTTCGTCTTCAGATTCTTTGTCATATCCTTTTAACCAATGATGTGCTGCAGCACATTCGTCAAAACGTCCCATCATTGCAAGCCAGGATGGAGATTCTGGCATGATGATAGCCGTCATAGAATATGTACAGCATACAAATGCAATTATAGCAATGTTCCTCCAGTGACTAAAAGTTCCGGTTACATTGGCAATCCAGACACCCCAGAAGAAAATAGACGATTCTATCATCATTAGCACACCTCGATAACGGGGCGACGAGTACTCAACTATTATGCATATTAAAACCGTCAAATTACTGGCGAGAGTAATGCCTTGAATTATCTCGCTTATTAAAAGATGCATTGCATTGGTACTGCAGTAGAAAATGATGAAACTCACAAATGTTAGTACGGTAACAAGTAGGAATGGGATTTTTCTTCCAACGTATCGAACCAAAATGGGTAAAATAATCACCCACGGCATCGAAGTATACCCGAGAATTGATGCTGAAAAGTAAATAAAGTAATTGTTAGAAAATCAAATTTGTTTAGGTTCATGGTTTTTTTATAGATGCAAATTGCAAACTAAATTGCCCATAGGGAAACAGAATGTACAGAAGAAAGAAATTGAATATCAGTACTGCGGCGATCACAAATTAAGATATTTATAAATAAATAAATAAATTTGTTTTGTTTTCCAGTAAAGCTTTATTTTTAACTTCTTTTGCAAAAGTAGTAATCTTATTTTTTTCTACTTTTTTATTTTTTTTAATATGCTAAGAAAAAAACGACATACTTCTTTCGCTATTTTGAATTAAATAACTCATTATAATATGCACTTACATAACCAGGACTCCATTTCAGCAGTCATTGGCTCAGTTAGATTTAATTTTGCTTCTTTCCTCAACTGTGGGATATAAACTGTTGGTGCACCGAAACATAACCCCAGCACGAAGTAGATGGATGTACAAAGCGTGCACACGTATAACTGAAAAAGTGAAAAGATGACTCTTTAACTTAATTTGATATATTTTATGCATATTTTATGCTCATCAAAGTCCTGAATCAAGAGGTAGTTAAATACATTTTTTGATTTTATCATTAAAATAAAATAAAAACCACAACCTCAATTATGTCCTACTTACACGCAGGTAGGTAATTTTAATTGTTAAAATTTTAGTTTTGAGTAAAATCTTTCAACAAGCTTTTAAATGTGACTTTTTAATAGATTAAATTATCATCAACAGCCTGTAACAGTCCATTGCTGGACATAGGCTTCTCCTTAAAAAAGAGGTTTTGGCCTAGTATACCACACTGGCCAGACGGGTTGGTATAGGGTTTGTTTCAAATTTTCCTTCTCTTTGTAGTGCCGTTATCCTGCGTAGTTTGCTCTATTAATCTATTAATTATTATTATGGGATGAATAGGGCTGGTGACACTCCGTATTTTAATCCATCACCACATGGACAGATTACGGACAAAGGACAACAAATTAAATACAAAACTAAAATTATAATGTACAAAATTACGATCAAAACATTGAGTAGGAAAAAAAAATTCATAGATGTAACTTTTCGATATATTTTTGTAGTTTTCATAGTATTTTTAGTGCAGCAATTCAAGTGAATTATACACTTCTTATTGACAATTGTGCATATTTATGTTTATTTTAAGACAAGTAATTGGATAGCTGAGCAGGCTTAAATAAATATATTTATGATTGCAATAAAAATATGACGAAATAGCTAAATTTCAATAAAATTTAAAACCTTGCTAATCCAAATAAAATGTTTAATTATGTTCTTTTTGCAAAACACGCCAAGTTATAAAAACTCTAAGGATAGTTTTAGTAAAATTAAATCTATTTCCTCCAATATAAAACCTGTAATACATGCATACCATTTTACACTAAGGGCCAAAAACTACTTCAAAGCTTCATAACTCGTAAAGTTTTTCATATAAAAATTAGAAGGCCTAGATAAAAACTACGTACAGCATTTTTTCGTCATAGTATATGTAGATGCTTTATGCAGACGAAACACGTCGTTTATGGGAGTTAACTTACCAGATTTGTTAGTTTTAGTAAGGTATTTATTATTTGTAGATAAGTATGATTTCTTTACGGCATAGAGAGAGCAAAGTATAGCCTAACCTACTTATTTATTTCCGATTCTGACACTCCACCCCGCCTCAAACCCCGGTGGTGTGACGGCACGTGGGACCTACACTTTGTTTATCCACTTATTATTATGAATAGCAATTAATAAAAATAATATCAACAAGTATTCATTTTAAATACAATCATCATAAGATGTACGTCACCATGAATTATTGGTAAATCTTATATCGACTCGACTCGGCTATAAGTTTTTTAAACATGACTATTATTATTAAAATTGTATTGATTGCCTCATCTATGTAGATTTGTACGTGTACATAAATTACGTATCTTTATAAATACCCAAATATTGTGATAATTCAATCGAGTACTCGGTGCGTTTGTTTATCGAATTACGAAAATATGCCTACGACGTACAATCATCTAATGACGTCCTCCGTTTCTTAGAACTGACCGCTGTCAGATAAAAAGATTCTCTATAGGAAGTTTTCTCTGTACAGAATGACGCTTATTTTATCAGTAATAGTGGGTTAGGGTAGATACATTTCGGTTACTTTTTCGTGTTATTTGAAAAAACTGATCTATAAAGGTCGTCTTGCACGAGTTTATAAATTTAGTGCCAGCGTTGGAGTTCAATAAACTATTGTTGTCTTACGAGAAGTATTATCTTTTCACGATAAATGTAGCAATACTTTGTATAGTTGCAGCTCTATATTTAAAACGTCTTGGCTACAATACCTGTTGACCAATGGAAATGTTGTATTTTATCTCATGCTCTCAGCGGATGTTCCTACTGTATACATATAATATTCTTCAGTTAGTCTGAGATTTTTCTTTCATAATACAATCATTAATCGTACTGGCGTGGATAATCTTTATTATTCGTAGCAGCCCTCATAGCCACTAAAACGGTGTGTGCTTGCGTTCTGAATAAAAATATTAAAATTCAACTCAACTCAAACATATGACAAAAAATGAGTAACTCAACGCTGTTCAGTCCTGCGTCGCGTCTGCGTTGGAGCATCAACTTTAAGTCGTTTTAATTTTCCATTTTGGATACGTTTAATTTTGAATTTTTACATATGTTATGTTCCAACAGATAACTACGCATGCAGAAAAAAGTAGCAGTTTTTAACTAATTGATACTGCATATAAGTGGAGTCAGCCGATATAAATGTCTGCCATGACTTAACAGATAGCGCACTTAAACTAATATAGAAATTTACTCAGTTAGAAAACATTAAAAGATTTTACATGTACAGGTTTACAATTTGTAAAACAGTATTGAACATATGAACATAAGAAGCTATCAGAGTAAACTTATTATGTCTATAATTATTTTGATATAGGGGCAGTAAACAGGCCAAGTTAAAGTATGAGGTTGCGTAGTTGTATATATAGGAAAAAAACGATTTTCTATTTTTTCTTATTAGGTTAAGTATTGGAGCGCGATACGCCTTCTATAGCATATGAAATAGTTACAGTCAAACAAAGGTCTGTTAGAGATCATATTTACAACTTTTGATTACCGGAGAAGACGAATTTTTTCACCTTCTAATCCGTAATTCAACCGTGCATTAGATGCAAAATTTCGATCAATCTCAAACCCTTCAAAACTGATTGCAATGGAATCTGGTAATGAAGTGGCACTTGGATGACATCTCATCATCTCGTGAATATTTATAAGGCTAGAGTAGAGCTTTAAACCCATGAAGTTGAAAACTGGTGGTCACTAGCTGTTAGACTGCTGATTATACATATAGATTAAGAAAAAGATATTTAAAACTAGAGCAGCTCAAATAACGTACGTATCTATTATATACCTTATACATCTCGTAAACATAAACGTAATTAATTATCATAGAACGTGAAAGTTAAAAAGTTCGTATAGGTCATTACCCGTTCATGCCTCTACGGAAACATTCACAACAAGTCTACTGTTTGACCGTAATTTAGCGCCATAATAGCATAATAGACTGTCTATGTATGTACTAGGAGAGAAAGAGTTATGTTATCTCGACAATCTACATGTAAGAGAAAACATTGAAGTTTTGTAAATTGCTAAATATCGTAATAATACCTTTATCATAAGTATATGTAATTAGCTAATAGTATTTGCAAAATAGAACTAAACCATTACTTTTTTGTATTTACCGAAATCCATTTCCATGCTGGCCCCTCTTTAGAACTACGAAGATGTGTTTCTTAAAGAATGGATAGTGACGTTACATATTTTATTCACACAAAAACGGTGGACGAGGTGGTGGTAAGCCCTAAGTGGCAGGATGTTATCGTAAACAAAATGTAAGTATACCAACCTGTCTTAAGAATGGTTGCCAAGAATATTTCATGTGTGTTGTACATTCTTCAGTGTCATCATTTTTCACACCTTCGTAATTGCACTTATCCATTGTGAATAACTTATTAAGTTTCAATATTGTGCAGCCTAGTTGTTCTTGTCACCATAATCGACTCTCAAATAACATCAAACGTCATCTAAAACTGAAGAACAGAAGTATTATTATGACGATCCAACTTATGCTTGAAAATGGACATATGTATATGATGATTGTGCAAATACAATGGGTTTTATGCGAACGTATGCTTTTCTCTTTTAAGAGGTTGAATTCAAAATAATAAGAAAATTGTGAACGAATTACAATAATAAATGCTAGAATTGAAAGTATTTTTTCAAACAATAGTTTTTCAATTAGGCACTGCTTGAATTCTATCTAGGAATAGGAGTTGAATATAATTAACCAGGGGCTGGAAACCACCCACATAAGTCAGTCATTTTTTAACTTTACCAATAGTTTATAATTTATACAATTTACCAATTACTTGTGTTTAATATTTACATGCATTACATTTTGACACTGGTTTGATATTTGAAGTAGTACTGAACTGATTGTAGGTATCCCATCATATAAAAAGACCTGTGTCGTCACATTTTACGTTAAAGTTCACCTGCAGCGCAATTATTAAGATATAAAGAAATACCCACATAAGTACGTCAGTATTAATTATTTTATCATAAATTAAAACTTAATATTGCTATGAGTATTAAGTTTTTTTTTATCTCATACATGTTATATAAGCTAACTATGAAAATATATGATGATTTCCTATTATTTTAATTCGTAATAGGGTTTCTTTTTATATTTATCTAATTAATTTTAATACTCAGTCTTTTGAACATTACATTATAAGGAATAAATACTTACTTATTAATTGAGATTTACTTATTAACTATATTTTAACATGAACTAAATATATGATACACATTTCATTAAAAATATATAATTAATCTTAGGTGTTTTAACCGATTATTCATTGGTTGGATAGAATCCAAGAATTCGTAACATAAATGCACAAGTTTGAAGAAAATATAAGATATCTATGACACGGCATGTATACTATGAATTTATATAGCTCACACATTCACTGTAATACTTCGAAAAGTATAGCACAACACACAGCGATCACTGTCGGTATTAAAGTATCACTGAATCGAATTACCAGTCCGATTAAGGCGCCAACACATTTACGCGACTACGGAACACAAAGCAGCTAACCAAATATGAATGTACATCATTATCAATGTACTTCCAATATCTGAATATAACTAATGAGCCAAATATTTACGTCTAGTCCTCTATAAAGATCTACATTGAGAATATCCCTAAATATTTTTTAGTTACTAACAAAAAAATATACATGTTTACTTGTAACGTCAACGAAAACTTTATAAATTGTGTTATAAAACATGTTCATTACTTTTTAATCGAGAATTGTAAACTTACATCGTAATTCGCACACATCTAATCTAAATTTGGTTAAGAAATGTGTATTAAGAAATAATCGTAACAATTCAATTGTTTCACCTCACTAAACTTTACATTCTACTTGAATTTTAGATATCTTTATCAATTGCTTTAAATTTAAATAAATGAGAATTAAATGAATTAACAATATTCCTTTTAGAACATTTTCAGTTTCTTTTTAATATCTGGAAATTGTATGTAATATGTCTAAATGTCATAGTAAATATTTAATACCAAAAAGAAAACTTATAAAAGTTAAGTAAGAAATAACTACTAATTTTATAAACGATAAACGACGATAAAATCCTCTACTCTCCTCTCCTCTCCTCTCCTCTAATCTCAAAGGGTTTAAAAATGTGTCGTTCCTCTAGGAGCCGGAGATCCGAAGGGCTTTTCCACCCCGTCATCAAAAAAAAAGATATATTTTCAAGCACTGCGCTTCAAATACTCATGTTATACATACAAGAGAAATTTTAAAGTCTGTACCTTAAATAACGAAATTTTAAAATGTATGCCAATAAAAGGTAGTTTGCAAGTTTCACGTTTAATATCAATATGGCATTTCTAATTTGAGTCAGTCAGAAGGTAACTAATGAATCAAAATAGATTAATTTTAGTAACTTAACTGTCACCGTATAATAAGTTGAGGACTAAACTAAATCTTAGTTGTTTACTTATTTTAGTCTAACTTAGAAAGCTTTGTAACAACAGAAGGCACCAACGTCTTTATCAGAAGTCTTATTACTAGTTCACTATACTAATACAAAAATCTTTATATAGATTCATACAAGTCATTTTTTAGTAAAGTTTGCTTTGAGGACTTTATTTTGAAAACCAACTAGGAAAAAAAACATATGTCAGTCTTAAACGAGCTTTTATTCAAAGGAGTTCGAATAAAAGCTCGTTCAACTCTAATAAAATAGAACGTTAGCAAATGATTGTATATTTTGATTTGTCATATTCCTTGACATATTTTAATAAAGAGCTCTGTAGTTCTTTAATACCTCGGAACTAAATAAATAAAGATAACATTTTACTGATTTAAATGTCTTCTTTATTACATGCAATTATTTTTTATGTATCATAATTATGTTCGATAAAATTAAACGACGCATCTAAACATCATCATTTCAAACAAGATAATTTTTGTACGTGTCTTTTTATTGTTTATCCCAGTCATATAGTATTGAAGCTTCACTTAAATATATTCAGACAAGTCAGTCATAGACTTCTTAATTTTAAAATCACAATAACAATTTAATTATTTCCAAGCCATGTAAAAGTCGATCCTTGCACATGCCGCATGTCGCTACGACTCGCGATTAGTGCGATTCCAGCCTTAATGTTTACACGTATTTGAATGGAACATATGAAGCGATTGTTATGAATTTATTCGTGTGATCAATCGTCTCAATAACATATAACTTCATATACAGCCATCAGCGGATTCATATTGCCAATAGGAGCTGTCGAAGGTAGGTATATATTCCGAGGTAAAAATATTTTAACGCAATGTTGACTACATCGAGTCTCGTTGGATCACCGAAATCATATATATATTACCCATTAGAAAATTAAAAGCTTATTATTCATTTTTGAAATGTGTTGCTCATAGGTAGTTTAAAGACCACATTTTGAAGAGAGCCAAACTATTCAAATTGAATATTAGAACCACGAGTTTGTGGGTATTATGATGTCAAACTAAGGCAAATACCAGTGTCTTATTTTGACACTTAAACTGTTGCTACTAAGAACCAATCTCTTGTTAGTAAAATAAACGAAAAACTTACCCATCTTTCTACATTTTTAAATCTAGAACTACTTTGCCTCGACAATAACACATAATATATAATAAAATATTCTATGTAGCTCACTTCTTCACACTGATACCGATCGTGGTTTGTTATGTTTATTTCAGAATCACTGTGATACGTATTAATAACATAGACGGGAGCGACGAACTGACAGATATTTTCTTGAAACTCGTTGGGCTTACCAAATTTATTTATAGAAGACATTAATTTTAGCAAAACACTGCTCAAAATACACTTGTAGTATTTTTCATGTTATTTTTTAACCTCGATTATGCAATTCTGTTAATGAACGCCATAAATAAGACTTTACTTTCATTCACCATCGATGTGACAAACAAGCTTAAGGTTTATCTGGGGAAGCCTTGGACAGTGTTTATAAGCATAGGCCCTGGAAGTGTGTATGTATATGGAAGTGTTCGACAATATGAACTCAATACAATGGTTTACAAGCGACCTATCGAGCTGTTTATTGAACAAGTGCAAGCAATATGATTTGTGTGCGATCTGCGTTAGGATTTTCGCTATTGATAAAATTTTTTGATCCAGACACAAACCTTTAAGACCAGATCTTTAAGACTTTACAGGGTAAAGTTATGACTTCCTTTCTAGGGTATACCTGGTTCCCCGGCTATTAATACCCGAGACGGCGTGCGGTTTTAGTCGGTTCGAGTCCGACATGCCACCGACAGTGGTATCCGAGGGGATTTCCGCACGGAAAAAAAAAAAAAAAGAAAAAAAAAAAAGGGTAAAGTTATGAAAAAGTAATTAAAAAGTAGACCTCTTTGATATAAAACACACAATCAATCCCAAAAATTTTTTTTTATTTATTTATACCTTTATACATTTTACAAAGAAAGGACACTAAGAAAGATTTTTTTTATAGAATTTGTATCTTTTTAGATTTTGTTTTCTTTGTGCTTGAATAAACGGCAGTGTTTAATTTTGGAATGAAAACTGTTTTCGTCAAAGTTTTTTTTTATTGTTAGAAAATGAGAATGGAATAATAATTTCTCGTCAATCCATGCACAAGATTTTATTAAAATCAAAATCTTCTTTAAACACGTGATGGAAAATACATATTACGAAATACATTGAACACAAAACTTCCTTTTAACGTTTTTAATCTATTAAAGTACTGATTTTTAATAAATACTGCTTTTATAATATCTTTCGGAATAATTGAGTTTTCCGTACGGTTTTCTCATTGCAATGGTTATACTTCTACTATCTTTTACTAATACATTAAGAGCCGCCCTACATCTAACGGAATGTGTTGGGAGTATCATAATTTTCGGTTCATTTTAAAGCTGCTTTGCACAAAATGATTGTGACTTACGTCATGTAGTAATTAAGTTAAGCAACGAAGCCAATCCAAGTATTTGCTATATTTTACAACAAGGTGGAAATATGAAAATATATTGAGTAGGTACACTAGGTACATGCTCTGGCTCGCCGTCGTGTGCTACGCGGACGACACACTCGTGACGGCGCGCGGCAAGACGCACCACGAGGCAACCCTGAGGGCCACGGCTGGGGTTGCCCAAGTCGTTGAGCGTATCCGGCGGCTGGGTCTCGAGGTGGCTCTGCACAAGTCCGAGGCCCTGTTCTTCCACGGGCTTCGGAGGAAGCCGCCTGAGGGATCTAGCCTCACGGTAGGAGGCACTCGCATCGGCATCGAGCCCTCGATCAGGTATCTGGGGCTCGTACTCGATGGCCGATGGGACTTCGGATATCATTTCCGAGGTCTGGTCCCCAAGTTGGTTGGGGCAGCGC